GTTTTGAAAGGAAGGGAAAGATGCATTGGTCTAAATTTACACGAACAGTGTCTATTACACTAAACATATCAAACGAGCATTTATTGACGAACTGACTACCTGGTTTGTATGTGCGTATGCTTTGTTTGTTGTATAGTACTGTTAGCACGATATAACAAGACGCAATGTTGTGTGTGTGCGTGTTGTGTGATTGATGCTAAACGCAACTCGCTGTGAATGCTAGAAGTGTTTGGAGCGTGCAACTGCGCGCATCTTAGTTCTTCCTCTCCTCTCCTATTGGGAGATCTCAGTAGCTGGCAGGGTACGGCGGAAAAACTTTTGGAAAATGTTCAGTGGCTTCCGATTAAGTTTGTCTCAAATTTTGTGTGAAGCGTCTTCTTACGAACACATGAGATAGGTGGTTATGCCCAAAGTTGCATGCTTCTTACAACCTTGATCCTCCTCTTGATTCACTCGCAGTTGAGGAAAGTGTAACGCAGCAACATAGGGGGCACACTATGAAGGCTATAAAAACGGTGAGACGAAACTTTTGCGCTGCTTCTGCTGCGTGAATGGGGGTGGCTCTTGCGTGTTTGCGTCGAGTCTTTTCGGCTGCTGTTGTTTAGCGTGCCCTAATTGGAGAGTAAAACGAACAATTCTAGATAATGGAGAAGACATCCACCTAGACTCTAGGGTGAATATGCATGTACACCCAAAACACAGGGCCTCCCCTGCGGAACCAGTATGATCTGCCACGAGACTCCGCGTTCTCCCGGCTTCAACTGCACGAGACGCCTTGCCTTTTGGGATATTTTATTGGGTTGCTTTTGATTGGAGAAATGGACTAGCGAGTAGGGCTGTTTCTACGCCCGACAGCTGTCGTTCTGGCTGCTTGCGCTTATCACACTCGAACGGCGTTGCTGTAGTGAAGCAGGGGATACCTCGGGGCAGAGGAGGCCACAAAAAAGCACTCGAGAGATACCAGTAAAGTAAAGACTTGTAGTTGAATGGTTTTGTATTCTTTGCGCAACGATCACAGCGGAGTGTACGTACGTTCATACAAGTACACCGCAGCGCCCCCCGAGCAACCCGCCCTTGCTAGTCCATGGAGGTGCCTCCTGCGTTATTTTGCAATCCCTTAGCGTTTGTGCGAGAAGACGCATCCCAATAAAAGGAAATTCCAAAGTGCACTATCGGCGCAACTGCTGTTTCTCTCTGGCCGTTCCTCCCTCTCCCCCGAAGTGCCTACAGCAGAGCGCCCCTTAGATGATGCAGACGTGCCGCCCGGGCGCAGTTCCTTTGTCTCTCTTTTCGCTTAAAATCCAGGAGTTTGAGAATCGCACCAAGGATTTTGCCGTGAATTTTGTTTTGGGGTCCGTTGGATGTGTCTAGCTGGCGCGACTGTATATATCCAGGAGCTTCGGGTGTAGTAGCAGTATGTACACAGGAACTCTGAAGCGCGCGCCCCCTCCCACCTATTTGCGGGCGACCCATTTGTTTTCTCTTACTAAGCTGTCTTTCTGACCGTATTATGCCTTTCTCTGGTTACTGGCTGCCCACGGAGCGCTCAATTCAATCGCTGCATCGGTAACGCTCCTCCCACACAGGGGGCCCAGCAGTCCCCTCCGGATGCAGCAGGGGCCCCCAAGGCCTCTGGGGGCCCCTCAGAGGCACTCCTGCCAGTTGCTTGGCGCCTCCGTAGCGTGAGGGCACCCTGGCGAGAGCTGTCGCTGATCGCTGCGTTGGCGGCAGACTGCCGCTCCAGCGGCGAGGACGCACTTCTTCGCGCATACGTCTCGTGTCGCTCTGGCGCTTCTTCTCCACCCCGCAGCGGATGGAGTCAGCTGCGCAGTCCGCAAGTCTCTGCCCCCTCAGCAGCAGCAGAGCTGCTAGGGAGAAAGCCGCCTCGGAGTCTCGTGGCAGCCGCAGCAGCAGCGCCTGCAGCGGCAGCGGTAGACCTCGGTGCAGCAGTCTAGATGGTCCCTACTGGCAGCTGGGTGCGAGAAACAGAGAAAATACAGACACCAGAAGGGGCGCCTCGTGCCGCTTCCAGCAGCAGTCTCAGGAGCAGCAGGAGGGGGAAGAAGGGGGCGGCAACTCCCTCGCCGTCGACTCCCCGGGGGGCGTTCCAGTGTCTTCTGCGGGAAGCTCTGAGCCTCCTGGCACACCCGACGACTCTTCTGTCAGCAGCAGGAGCCGCAAAGCTTGGCTTTCAACGAGCCAGCAGTCTCAGCACTCCGCTGGGAAGCAAAGGAGTCGCAGCTCGGGGTGCGTGGTGGAGGCAGCAGTTCCCGAGACTGAGTCGCCGCAACAGCGTGAGAACGAAGCGCGAGGCTCAGGTCGTTCCCTGCGCGTTCGCATGCCCCCTAAGCGGCTTGCGGAGGAGGCTTCCCACCATGCTGCGTCAGAGCTGCAGCAACAGCGCCGTCTGCAGGCAGTGCAGCAGCCAGTGCAGCAGCAAGCCGTAGAAGCAGAGGACCGCTGTCGCACGCGAAGTGCACGGTTGCAGCAGCAGGAGCAGCAGCAGCAGCAGGAGCAGCAGCAGCAGCAGGGGGGCGGGTCGGGGATGCAGAGGCAGTTTTCTTTGCGGCAGCAGCTGCTGCGCAGTCGGCAGCAGCAGCACGTGCAGCACGATGACGCCGAAGGGCAGCAGCAGCAGCAAGTGCAGCAGGAAGATGAGGGGGAGCAGCAGCAGCTGCAGCAGCAGCAGGAAGAGGAGGGCGAGGCATATGAAGAGGACGCCGCGGGGGGAGCAGCCGCAGCAGCGGCAGCCGCAGCTACGCGCTACAGTCTGCGGGCAAAGCGGCACAAGAAGGAAGTGTTTCACGCGGATCTGCTCGCAAAGAAGACGTACAGACCGCTTGCAGCGGCTGCGAGGAGCGGGAAGGAGGGAGGCAGTGGAGGGGGGGGAGCGTGCGAGGGAGAAGACAGCGGGGGAGAAGCACTCGAGGCGGCAGGAGAAGCGCTTGCAGCAGAGGGAGAGGCTCAGGCACTGCTGCCCGCAGCAGACGACTCGGAGGGGGAACTGCTCCTGCTGGATGGCGAGACGGCAGCAGCAGCAGCAGCAGCAGCAGCAGCAGCAGCAGCAGCAGAAGCAGCAGCAGCAGCAGCAGCAGCAGAAGGCGGCTGCGGCCCCTGGAAACGGCGGGGGGGCCCCGGGAGGCCCCGGCTGCATCCCTTGGGGCCCCGTGGCGCCAACAGTTCTTACACGGTGCCTCTGCCTTCTGCTCTTCAAGACTTGAAGATCAAGCTGTACAAGGATCCGTGCGTCGTGGAGAAGGCTGCGCCTTTCCTGTGCGTCTGCGGCGGCGGCTGCTGCAGCCTCTTGCGTTCGGGGGAGGTCTCTAGGCTTCCTCCTCCCCCGCGCTCCCCCGTTGAAGTCGCTCTTCACGCTCCTGCAGTCGCGTTCTTCTCTCGAGGCTCCTAAGCGCCTGCTGCATGCGCCTTCGCATCAAGGGACCTTTCACGCTCGATCCGCATGTCTTGCTGGCGGCTGGTGCTGCTGCTCTGTGCATTTCTGTGTGTTTCTGTGTGTTTCTGTGCATTTCTGTGTGTTTCTGTGTGTTTCTGTGTGTTTCTCTCTTTCAATGTGGCGGTGTCTGTACACGTGTGTCCACCAGGTATTTGCATCTGTCTGCCTGCACATAGATGTGTGTCGGTCTATATATATATGTCTATATATATATATATGCATGTCTATATATATTTTTATTTATTTAGGTCTGTCTATTGGTTTAAACTATGAAAAATATACATGTATGTGTATGTGTCTACATGTGTGTGATGGCTTTCGTGCAGCCACTTTTATCTTCCCGTGTTGTTGTTGAGCAGCAAGATGCAGCAGCCGCGCGCCGCGATTTACGCGGAGGAGTATTTGCGGCAGAAGGTGGTCTTTCAGGATCACATGCAGGAGCTTTTGGAGCAGCAGCAGCGTTTGGAGCAGCAGAAGCCGCTGGAGCAGCTGCAGCCCTCTGAACAGCAGCCTCAGCCACTGCAGGAGGAGGATCAGCAGCAGCATCCCCACGACGGCGAGAGCAGCGAAGAGAGCGACGACGCAGCAGCAGCCCAAGCAGCAGCAGCAGCCCAAGCAGCAGCAGCAGAAGCAGTTTGCGCAGCAACAGGAGCTGGAAAGGCCGCTCTGCCTTCCAAGAAACCAGCGACAATGCGAAAAGGACAGCGTCGCAGACTGAGACGCGGCGGAACGGGGGGCCCCCCGCGGCAGGGGCCCCCTTTAGTTTCTTATGGACGGCAGCAGTTTGCGGTGAAAACGCCCTTGTCGGAAGGCAGGGGTCGAATCTTTTGCGGCTTTGCTGCAGATATCCGCGTCGAAAGCTTCCCGTGTCCTCCTAGGGGGGGGGGGCCCCGCGGGGTCGTCCCGTACCCAGGGGCCCCCTGGGGGCCCCTCTTAGCCGAGGGGAGGCCGTCGGAGCTCGCAGGTTTCGCGAGCAGCAGTCTTCTTGAGGAAGAAAAACGGCGCAAACTGACGCAGGTAAAGGGGTGGGCAGTTTTGCATGCAGCGGCGCGATGCTGCTCGGGGTGGTTTTTGGTGGGGTTGTTGTTTTTGGTGGGGTTGCTGTTTTTGGTGGGGTTGTTGTTTTTGGTGTGGTTGTTGGTGTTGGTGTGCTACAAGATGCTTCTTATGCTGCTGCTACTTATGCTGCTGTTACGAGGTGGCCTTCACCGGCTCCTTGTGCCGCTTGTGCTGCTACGAGGCAGCCTTCACCGGCTCCTTGTGCCGCTTGTGCTGCTACTTCGCCTTCTTCTCTTTTCTCTTTTCTCGTTTGCTCTTTTTCGCCTGTTTGCGGAAGGGGCTGCAGTGTGTGTGTATGTGAATGTCTGTGTCTGTTTGTGACTACTGCGGGGTGCGTCTGTTGTTGCAGGAGCTCGCTGTCTCGGCTGCGCGCATTTGCCTTTCTGCCGCGGCTTTTAGGGGGCTTCCCGCCGTTGATCGATTTGTTGCTGCGACACACAGTCCGGCTTTTTGGGGAGCTTCTTCTCTTTCCGCGAGCATTCGTCCTTCTCCCAAGGACTGCAGCAGCTGCAGCCAAACCGAATGCATGTATCGCTGCCTGCAGCGCCGCCTGGCTGCCTCCTGCGCCGACATGCAGCAGCGGCTGCAGCGCCTGCTGCTGCAGCTGCCTCCCCCCACTCTCCTCCAGGGGGGCCTCCTGCCTCACAGGCGGCCACGGGTTGGAGGGGCCCCTGCGAGGGGCCCCCTCTTCGCGGGAGGCACTTCTGGAGGCGTTGAAGGCGACTCCTCCGCAGGCTCGAAGAAGCTGCCTCCTCCGTCAGAGGAAGAGAGTCTCCTCGTCTTCAACCCGCAAACCTTCGGCGTGGTCTCCGCAGAAGCCGCTGCAGCGGCTTCAAACGCTTGGAAAAAGCCGTCGATGCCTTGGCTCGTCGCTCGGCGCCTTGCGAATATCAAGGGGCCAAGGGGGCCCCTCCCGAGGGGCCCCGCTTGGCAGCTGGCATGGGGTGATGTCGAGGCGGATGCAAGCGTCACTTTCTCCGGAGCCGACGAGCGTATTTCTTCTGCTTCTTCTGCTGCTGCTGCTTCTGCTGCCGCTTCTGCTTCTGCTGCTGCTTCTGCTGCTTCCGTTAAAGAGCGAACCTCGGCTCCCGCCGCTGTCGCGAGCAGCAGAGATGCGGCAGCGTCGCTGGTCGAGAGTCGTGCCTGGCAGCAGCAGCGGAGGCAAGAGAAGCAGCATGTGATGCCCCCCCCCCCGCCGGAGGGGGGGCCCCCTGGGGGGGCCCCCTCCGGGATGCTCCCTCCCCTGTCTGCAGACTACCAAGAGCTGTACGACGCTCTGTGGGAGGGCAAGGGGGCTTATCTCGTGCCGTCGCTGCAGCAGCACGTCAGCAGGGTGTGCTGCTGGCTGGATGCATGCGAGCAGCGAAAGCGCAGCAGGGATGAAACTGCGGCGGCAGCGGCAACTGCACCGGGAACGACGACTTCGAGCTTTTCCAAGAAGAAATCTCTCCCCTCCAAGGTTCCCCCCCTCCCCAAACGGCCGGATCAGGAGTTTTTCGTCTCGCTGTACTGCTCGCCTCCCCAGCACGTGCAGCACGCGCAGCACGTGCAGCACGTGCAGCACGTCAAGCCGCTGGCTGGGGGTGGGGGGGGCCCTCTCAAGAAGAGGAAAGTCTTGCAGCAGCAGAATCTGAAGCAGCAGCAGCAAGAGGATCCCCGCAACGCAGACGCTGTTGCCGGAGGTCTCCTTTCTCCTGGCGAGCAGCAGCACATGCAGCACATGCAGCACTTGCAGCACATGCAGCGCATGCAGCACTTGCAGCACATGCAGCGCGGCGAAGGGGAGGCAACGGGGGCAGCAGCTCCAGCCGCAGCAGCGGCAGCGGCTGCGGGGGCAGTAGGAGCAGCAGCAGCAGCAGCTGCTGCGGCGTCTTCCTCAGCGGCTGCGTCTGTTGGAGCAGCAGCAGCAGCTGCAGCTGGTGGAGGTGCTGCTGCTGCTGCCCCCGCAAGCGCCTCCGCCACAGGAGGCGCAGCAGCAGCAGCGGCACCAGCAGCAGCAGCAGCAGCAGCAGCCGCAGCTGCCGCGACCAGGAAGTCTCCGTTTGCGCAAGTGGATATTCTGCTGCAGCTGCTTCGCGCGGAGCGCGAGTCAATCCCTCCCCCCGATGCAGCAGGAGAAGGGGGGGGGGCCCCTGCCGCGGGGGGGGGGGGCCCCCCCGGCGTTCCCCCCGTATCTCTGGACGTGCTGAGACTGCTGTCGTGGCGACTTCGGAGGGAGCTGGCGGCTGCAGCGCAGCTGCCTGACTGCGGCAAGAGGAAGCTGAAGGCAAGGATCAAGGAAACTGTCGCCGAATTCGCAGCCTCGGCAGCTGCTGTAGCTCCGGAGGGACTGACAGTTGCCGACGAGGGGGGGGCTCACCCCTCCGAAGGAGGCTTCGAGGAGGAGCTGCGTCTTGAACAGGATGCAGCTGCAGCAGCAGCAGCGAGTGAAGCGCCTGCTGCTGTTGCCGCTGCGGAAGGAGGCTTGTTGCGTCCAAGGAGGATGGCGGCAGGCTCGCGTATGGCTGGCTTCGTGACTCTCCTCAAGCGGGGAGCCTCTGCAGGTGCGCCTTCACGGGGGAGGAGGGGGGATGTGGTTGCTTTGTTTTGAGGGGGTGGTCAGGAGCGCTGCGGAGTGTGGGAAGTGGCTGGGTGGAAGCATCTTTTCGTGCGAAATCGCATTCAAATTTTGAATTCGCGGCGTGTTGCTTTGCAGACCCCGCAGCAGTGCCTGGGGAGGAAGCCTTGGCGGCGGCAGCAGCGGCAGCAGCTGCCGCTGCTGCGTTTTCGCCTTCGGCTGCCGCGTGTGGCGGTGCGATCGGCAGGTTCTCCGCCTCGCCTGTGAAGGGCGAGAGCGCAGGGGGCCCCTGGGGGCCCCTCGTGCAGCAGCAGCAGCTGCGGCTGCTGATCGCTGCGGAGTTGCGCCAGCAGGTGAGGACGGAAGGTCGAGAGGATGCAGCGACGGCAGCCGCAGCGGCTCCCCTAGATTCGCTGCAGCGCGTGCTGCAGCAGCTGCCTCTCGGCGAGGCAGCAGCGCGACTGGGAGTTCATAGGAGTACTATTGCTCGGTGGGGTCGCTTGTGGTCGCAGAAGCAGCAGCAGCCGTCGACTTCCGACGCTGTCGCTGCTTCGTCGGGGATTGCCAATGGTGTTGTAGTGACTGCAGCCTCCGCAGGGGCGGCTGGGTCGGCTGAGTAGGCGCGCTGCTGCTGCGCAGCGCGCAGAGCCCTCCTAGGTAGCGGCAGCGACGGGCTGCTTGGTTAGCCACGAAAAGGTGTAGAGTGTGGCTTTAGAGGCGACGGCAGGAGCAGCTGCGCGAACCTGCACGAGCTTGGCATGAGGTAGACCTGCTGTTGCGCTAGGCACGCGGGGTGGTGTCTTTTCGTTGTTGCTGCTGCTGTGGAACCACAGGCAGAAGCAGCGAGGACGTGTACAATGCTGCTGGGTTAGCCCTCCATTTTTACTTGTACTATAGATTGTGCACCAAACACGACCAGTAGCCGCTACCCCTGCCCTAGGGCTTCGAGGATTTATAGTCGTCTTCATGCGGTCTACTTCGATGGCTATTAATTTCTCTAGAGTCTAAGTTTTCAAGCAGCGTCTGGGGTGCTCGGTCCTGTGGGATTTCTAACGGGTGCTGGTTTCGTGGGGGTTCTAGCCTTTTGAAGCAGCAGGCGCTCTCTAGGAATACTAGTTTTCAGGAGCTCTTCAGATATTCTGCCTTTTCCCCGAGGTTTCGGGGAAGGATAGGCGCATGCCAGGGAGGGTGTTCTCTGCGCCTCAGCGGGCGTGCGCAAGAGGTCTGCGATCTTGCGTATTTGCGTTTGGAGAGGGTGCGCACTGTGGCTTACTCCGTGTGAAACTGTTCTTCGAGACTAGATAGCAGCTTTTTTTGAAAGAAGTATTCTTCATGAACATGTACCGTCATGCGGGTTTGGCCGGCTCACTCGCAATGCATGCGGGCCGGGTTGGTGGCGCCGGCATACTGCTGTACGTCGTCTGTTGCTTTTTGCAGGAGTGTGAACAAGTTGATATTGAAATAATAACAGACGTGTCATTACCAATTCCGAGAACCTCTTTCATGCATAGCTCAGAGAATAAGGGGCGGCCCTAATGCAGTTTTGTGTGTATGTACACCATCCGTTCATGTCTGCTCGCAGTGGCATCTTTGAGAATCTTGCTTGCCTGGCAAGCGCAGAGAGCTCCTCAAGTTGTGTACGACACTTGATTCGCTTCCCACTGCGTATGTCGTTTTGAACGCGCCGATTGGGGGCAGAAGGATTCCAGCGATGGATGCTTCAGCAGCGCAGAGCGGTGAGGGCGCGTATGGATCGTACGGCGTGGTCTGCGCACCGCCAGCACTCTCGGAGAAAAACTCCACGGGGGTTCTCGCGAAGGCAACCTCTGCGAAGGGGGCAGCTCACCAGCAGCAGCAGCCACTCTCTGCAGCAGCAGGTGCTCATGATGCCGCGCAAGCCTTGCACTTGGGGGCACTGGCCGCCGAAGAAGGGTGTGCATGCATGCGTTGTTGCACGCTGCCACGCTTTGCCATCCGCCGGAAAAGGACTGCTTCTTAGCCTGATTCCTGCATCTTGGTCTCCTTCTTCCCTCCTCCGCTCCCGCCGTCATGTCTGTCGTGCGGCCCCTTGCTCGCTCGGGAGCAGCTGCCTGTGCAGCACATGGCAAATCGCAGTCGTAGGCTGTTGCTGTCTCTCCGTTTGCCGCTCTGTGCGCTCAGGAAGGAACGGCTGGAATGCTTGCTGCAGCAAGGGGCGAATGCGGCAGCGGCTGGGGCTTCTTTTTCTGCAGAAGCAGCAGCGCTCAGACAGCACCTGGCTGTGAGCGCGCTAACTGCATTCGCTCGAAGCATGCATGCACTTTGATGCCTCCTCCCTTCCTCCCAGTGCCTTCTTTGTCGCTTCACGCAGCCTGCTATCCGATGCTCCCTTCCTGCCCCTTTTCTGGGGTGCGTGATTTGAAGAGTCTCGAGGAAATGCGTTTCTCACAGTTCGTCCCTTCCAATATGCCAGCCGTTTCTCCCGCTTACCAACTGCAGGAAGAACTGACGCTCCTATTGCGTGTGTCAGACACGACGCCTGCATATTGTGTTTTAGGCCTTTCTGGAAAGGCTTGAGGGCTTCGGAGGGAGCGCGCATGCTTGCATGCCCTTGCATGCATGCATGTGGGGGTGCATGCATGCATGCATGTGGGGGTGCATGCATGCATGCATATAGGCATATATGTGTGTCTATGTGTATGTGTGTATGTACATGTGTATACGTATTTGTATGTGAGTATGTGTGTGTGTCTGCGCGCAGTCCGATACGCCAGCGCATACATCTCAGCTGATAGGCATTGTGTGCATTATTTTGTCTCTTGTAATTCTGTTTTCTGCCCCTTTGTATCCTTGGGGCATCTTTGCAAGCCTTTTTGGCTTTGTTGCTGGAGGGCTGATCCTCAGAAACAGCAGGAGCCACGGCGTATTCCCAGGACGGAGAGGCCCCCCTGTTTAATAAGGGTCTAGAATTACTGAGACTTGAGACGAATACGCGTTTTGGAAAGCGGTTTGGGATGGCGGTAGCCTGTAGGGGGGCTGACTCGAGGGGGAGGGATACTCCGTGCGCTCGGAGAGGTCCTACATGCAGAGGCTTCTCTTTGGCGTGCGATTTGATTGTTAAATGCGTTTTGGCCTTTAGCAGCCACCAGTTTTGAGGCCTCTTAGAAGAGCAGAAGGCAGTCAGTCCGTTTTGCTTGACATGCAGAGGCTTCTCTTTGGCGTGCGATTTGATTGTTAAATGCGTTTTGGCCTTTAGCAGCCCCCAGTTTTGAGGCCTCTTAGAAGAGCAGAAGGCAGTCAGTCCGTTTTGCTGCCTGGTGCCCGTGCCTTTTCCGAGGCATGGATTGGTGGGAACGTGCTTCTCGAGCTGCGCGCGTGCATGCACTTTTAGGGGTCCATTATTCAGAGGCAGGTCTAGAAGTCGGTTGCTGAAAGAAGCTGTTTGCAGCGCCAAAGAGGTGTCTTAGGGCACCAGCGACAGACGGCGAAACGTGCTGTACTTTCTGCAGGCAGAGGGTTCGACAGGGTGCTTTGTAAAATCAGAGATCCTTGGGGCTGGACGCCGCTCCCCTTTGAAAAGAATGCCCTTCTCGCAGAAGGCTGCACTGGCCGCGGAGCCGCCGGGTGTACTTACCCTTGGCAGTCCGAAAGCTTCGCGTTGCCACTTTGTGCGAAGTTAGTCCTTTTTTCCATTACTTAGGACCTTATAGATAGGTGCCCCGCTGTTTGTTTGTTCGCTCGCAGAGTGGGGGTAGTGGCTATTCGTCAAGGGGAAAGAAGTGGCGCTGTTTCTTTGTTGCGTTGGCTGGTGATGAACAACTAGCAGAGTGGACTCGGCGTGCTCAGAGGGTGCAACCACGTTCATGCGCCCCTTCGCGCTTCTTTCTCTCTAACGGCACGTGCAGCAACCGTGAGGGAGGGTGCAGGGCAGGGGATCGGAGAGTGAGCTGCTCAAAGGAGGCCATGCAATAACGCGTAGCAAGTTTTGCACTGGGGGTTGGGGTTGAACGCGTCTCTCAACGGTGGCTTTTTCATGGAGGCGTGACTACTGTGCTGCGTCTGAAAGCGTCCGCGATCTCGCTGCCTCCCTTCCCCTGTCGAAAAAAGGCTAGCGCAATGAAAACAAGCACACAGCACTCGTGCTCAGACGTACGAGAGGAGGGGCGTTAGAGGGGAACCAACCGAGCCAGGGACGGGCACCCTCTCGTACAATGCGGTGCTAAATGCAGAAGATGCTCTCTCGAGTGCACGCACTGCGCTTTCCGTAGACACAATTATGCTTGATTTAAGATGCCTGTGAGCGCTTCCCCATCTCTATCTCCCCTCTGCCTTTTCAATGGGGGCGCAATGGCAGGATGAAGCCCTCGAATCGGGGGAATGCGAGAAAAGTTACCCGCAGCCTAATGTACGTTTCCTTACGTATGCAACCCTGTGATAAGTTTATACAAGTGCAAAAAGACGCATAGCAGACCCTGTGCGTACAGCTGCACATAGCTACACGGATGTTTCTGTATGAATCTTCATGGCCATGGCGCTCCCTCCTAAGGAGATAGCAAGATGCAGCTCTGTACACGGCACATTTCCAACACGGAAGCCTGAACGAAACAATTTTTTGGTGTCCACTGAAAAACATATGCAAAGATCGTGTTTCCAGCAGAAGAAGGCCACCTGCGACTGCCCTCTCCACCAGTACAACAACCCCACCCCTCAGGGGCGAAGGAGGGGCCCCGCAAGGGGCCCTCCAGAGCAGAGCAGGAGAGCTCCCCACCAAACTTCCTTCCGGGATTTATTTACAGCCCGAAAAATATTGACAACGCGAACCCAGCAACGCATCCTGCAAGAGCACTGCCCCTTCGACATCGCCAGCAGCGTGTGCTGCCGCTGCAGAGGAAGGGCGTGAGCGTCTGCTCCTTCGTCGACTCCTTCGTCTGCATGTGATGAACAACTTGACGGCTGCGGAGGAGGGGGCCCCCCTTCTGCAGCGACAGCAGCAACCATGCCCGTCAGCTCGCCAGCTGCCTCGGGAGCAGCTGCTGCTGCAGCGGCAGCTGCAGCGCTGTTGCCGCCAACTGGCGAAACTGCAGCAGCTCCACCGGGAAACCGTAGAAGCAGAACGGAAGGAGGCCTCTGAGAGCGCCTCTTTCTTGTTCGAACGTCTTGCTGCAGCAGCAGAAGCCTGCACGGAAAGAAAGCCGTGCAGCTGCCTGCTCGCGGCAGCTGAACAGCAGCAGCAGCAGCAGCGGCTGCCTTTGTTCGCCATAAGAGCGACCGGCTGTCATGTGTGTGCACTGCAAACTGAAGCCGCAGGAAGAGAAGCCTCTGCGCAAGCTGCTGCAGCAGCAGGCACACTGCGTCGCAGCGATGGAAGTCGGGGGGCAAACACCAACGTGCTTTCTCAGTGCTGCCGTGCAGTGCAGAAAATACTACTGGAAATGCTGCAGCAGGAGGCAGAGGCAGAGGCAGCTGCAGCGGCAGCCTTCGCGGGGGGACTGGAAGAGTCTGAGGAAACAACGACAACGCATCTTCACCAGCTCTTGCTGCATCATCGCGCTGCAGTTTTGCGTGAAAGCTTCGCTTTGCTGCAGCATCAAGTGCAGCAATTGCGAGGCTTCTCCTGCACGCTGTGTACGCCCTCCGCTGTCAGAAATCCTTTGGTGTAACTTCTCTGGACTGCTTTTGTACCTGCACGTGGTGTTGTTAATTTTCATCAGCAGCACTGGTGTCTGCTGCTGTTGACTGCGTCTCGCGTTTTGGGGAGGGGGGAGGAGGGAAAGGGCCGCTGTGATGCCTTCGCTTCTGCTGATGCTGCTGATGCTGCTTCTGCTGATGCTGCTTCTGCTGATGCTGCTTCTGCTGATGCTGCTTCTCCTGATGATGCTGTTGTTGCTGTCTTCCCCCTGTTGTCTTTCCTTAGCACATGCGCAGTGCGCCACCCCTAGAGCGGTTCGAACGGCGTTAAGTGCATGCATGCCATGCAGATTTGTTCATGTCTATGTGTATATATGTATGTTTGTGTATGTATGTATATGTGTGTATATATGGATGTGTATATCTGTATGTATGTGTATGTATGTACATATGTGTGTATGTATATATGGATGTGTATATGTATGTATGTGTATGTATGTATGTGTATATGGATGTGTATATATGTTAGTACATGTATATGTATTTAGATACATGTATGTGAATATATGTATATATGCGTATATATGTATACGTGTGTATATATGGATGTGTGTGTATGTATGTATATATATACATATATATATATATATATATATGTGGATATATGTATATGTATGTATATATGGATGTGTGTATATTTATATGTATATATATGTGTTTATTTATATATATAGATATAGATATATATATATATGTATGTGTATATATGTATATCCAAGTGTACATATGTGTATGTGTATATATGTATGTGTGTGTGTGTGTCTTTCTGCAGCGAGAGGGGGAAGCGATGAAAAAGCGGCTGCATCTCTTGCGTTGTTGCTTTTGTCTGTTCCTTTTCTCGGAAGGCGTGCTGCTGCTGTATCGACCTCTGCCCTTCGACGCGCTTCATTGCAGCTGTTGCAGCTGACCATTAAGCCTTGGATGCGCAGTCTCGTTCTGCTACTGCTGCTCTTGCAGCGCACCGCTGCACGCGGCAGCAGCAGCGACTGCAGCAGCAGCAGCTGCTGCTCTCAAGCAGCCATTGCAGAAGGCGACTATGCTGCTGCTTCTGCAGCTGCAGGCTTGATGCACTTTCAAGCCGAGGTTCTTCTGCTCGCTGTCTGTAGGCACCCATCACTGCAGCAGCAGCAGCAAGAAGAGTAGCAAACGCAGACACAAGCGCCAGATATTGCAGCCATCGCACTCTGTCAGTCGTCGCTCGAGGCAGTCAGTCTGCCGAAGTGCTCCCGTGCTGTTCTTTGTGCTGCAGCCTTCGCACGGCACTGGCCTCTTTTCCCGATGACTGTTGCTGCGCTGCAGTCTCTCTGCAGCAGCTCTAGCAGCAGCAGCCTTAGCAGCAGCAGCCTTAGCAGCAGCAGCCTTAGCAGCAGCAGCCTTAGCAGCAGCAGCCTGCGCTGCTGTTACACTGCGCAGTCAGCTCTCGCGCAACAGGAGCTTCTCCTGCTTGTCTTGGGAGGTCGTCCTTTACTGCATCGTCTGCAGCAACACGTCTGCACTATCCCTGCAGCAGCAGCAGCAGCAGCAGCAGCAGCAATAATAGTACCTGCAGCACCAGCAATAACATCAGCAACAGAAGCAGCAGCAGCAATAATAGTACCTGCAGCACCAGCAATAACATCAGCAACAGAAGCAGCAGCAGGAGCTGCTGCTACTGCACCTCCCGAAGCAGCAGCAGCCACCGCATGCGAACAACTGCTGCAGGTCGAATCCACATACTGCTTGCTCTTACAGCAGACTACTGCCTTGTGTGTCTTCCTGCAGCGAGAGAATCAGCACGAAACGCAGCAGCAGGATGCAGCAGATATGTTGCTGCTGCTGCTGCAGGCGTTGCCTCGATGGGCAAGTAACGCAGATTTCCCCCGACTCGCCGACAGACGCCAGTAAGCACCACTAGCACCATCAACAGCAGCAAGAATACCAACAGCAGCAAACCAGCAGCAGCTGCTGCAGGAGAATGCCTCTGTCGAGTTGCGTGTGAATCTCTCCTCAGGGGGTTGTTGCTCTGCAAGGAGTTGCACGCGCTGCTTTTGCATGCGCCAACACCAGCGCATGCAGCAGACAAGGCGGCAAGAAGCAGCAGCAAGAATGATCGTGTAATAACTCCCCTTCCGCCACTTCAGCTGCAGCAGCTTCGTGAGCAGCTAGCCACATTGTTGCCACTGCTGCTGCTGCACAGGACTGAGCCACACTGCCATAGCAGCAGAGACTGCAGCAGCAGCAGTGGCAGCAGAGACTGCAGCAGCTGCTGTGTCGCTACACCAGAGCAGCTGCTACAATTTGCCGCTTGCTGGTGGAATGCGTCTTGTCAACTCAACGAACAGACAAAACGTTCACACGTAAGAGACAGTATACGCAGCACCAGCAGCCGCTCCTGCTGTTTGCTGCTTGCATCACTGATCCTGTTTGCTGCCGCTGTTTGCTGCTGCTGTTTGCTGCCTGCATTACTGATGCTGTTTGCTGCCTGCATTACTGATGCTGTTCGCTGCTTGTATTACTGCTGCTGCTGCTGCTGCTGGTGCTGTTCGCTGCTTGTATTACTGCTGCTGTTTGCTGCTTGAATTACTGATGCTTGTGCTGTTTGTATTACTGATGCTGTTTGCTGCTTGTATTACTGCTGCTGTTTGCTGTTACTGTTTGCTGCTTGTATTACTGCTGCTGCTGCTGTTTGCTGCTTGTATTACTGCTGCTGTTTGCTGTTACTGTCGGCTGCTTGTATTACTGCTGCTGCTGCTGGTGCTGCTGCTTGCTGTTTGCATTACTGATGCTGTTCGCTGCTTGTATTACTGCTGCATTACTGATGCTGTTGGCTGCTTGTATTACTGCTGCTGTTTGCTGCTTGTATTACTGCTGCTGCTGCTGGTGCTGCTGCTGCTACTGCATGCGCGCTTTGCACCGCTGATGGGGTAGCTTCGTTGTTTGTTGCAGCGTCTCTCTCTGTGTGTGTCTGTGTGTGTGTGAGCTTCCTCGCTGCTCAGCTTCCAGCAGCAGCCGAGGGGTTTTATTGGCTCTGTGCTGCGACTGTTGGGCAGCAGAAGGCAGAGTTGCTGCTTTTGACTCCTATGTTGCTTCTAGGCACTCACCATCATCATCATCATCAGCAGCAGCAGCAGCAGCATCAGCTCCTAGAGCCGCCTCGAAGTCGACGCGTGCTGGGAGCTGCTCGCAGCGAGTGCAAGGTGTACATACACTGCAGAAGCCTTGTGCTGCAGTGGACTTGTTGCTGTCTTCGAGGAAGTATGTTCTTGCAGCGCACATATGCGCCGCACAAAAGGGCAGCAAGAAACAAACGCAGCGCAAGCGTATATATGTATATATATATCTAACTCAAAATGCGCTCGAGGCGATAAATTTTTGCCTCTGCGTCTCCCGTACTGGCAGCAGCCGTGTGTGTGTAGGATGTTAGCGGGGGGAAGGGGTGTGTGTGTGTGTGCCATCGAGGGATTTTTTTGCATGCCCCTCCTCTCAGTTATTTCTTTTGTTTTCTGCCCGCTGCGACACGAGCCACTCCACTTTTCACAGCGTCTTGTCGTTTCCAGCAATGCCACTTTTGCAGGAGATCCGAGGGTGCCTCTGCGAACTGCCACGCTTTTTGTCGAGAGCAGCAGCCAAGCAGGCAACACGCCTGACGGCGAGGCTGAGGAGCTGTCTTTTGCCGTTGCTGCTGCGACGTTGGCTGCGGAAATTCTCAAGGCATGCTGCAGCAGTGGCGAAGAAGAGGGCTGTTGCGTGGTGAGAGGCACAGGTGCAGCCTTCGCAGCAGAGCGGCTCTGTTGCAGCCTCTTGAACGCTGCCGAGCAGCTCACGGAGAGGGCGAGGCGAGCGGTAAGCCACAGAAACGCATGCGAAGAAACAACGAGAAAGGGAGGGCTGGCTAGAAGAGGAGGCTGCCTGCAGCGACAGGCAGAGCCAGCAAACAGTCATCCTCAGAAGGATCCGTCTAAGACGCGTACCCCGCCTTACGCCGCTGCTTGTGTCTTTGTATGTATGCGGGGAGGGAGGAGAAGCAAAGGAGGATAAAATGCATCGAAAAGTCTCTCGTGCTGCGTTCTTGCATTGACGCAGACGTGTCTGTCCGTCCGCCTGCCTGCCTGCTTGCATGCGTGTCTTTCTGTCTGCAGCAAGTATCCGCAGAGTTAGAGATTTCCGTGGAAGCGAGGCTGTGCGAGATGCAGCAGGCAACAGCCAGGGCTGTTGCTGCTATTGCTGCTCCTTCTGCTCCTTCTTTTGATCCTTTCAATGCTGCTGCAACACCCTTGCTGCCAATAGCATCAAGCGAAGAAGCGAAAGATGCGGATTTTGCAGTCAAACTTCAGTCCTTGATTGCGAAGAGCAAACAGAGACTTCTGGCAGATATCAAATCTCGTGCTTTAGAGGTGTGCTAGCCACTCAGCGACAGGTGTTCGCTGCGAGAAGCTTTTCTGGTTTGTTGTTGCGACCAACGCCGAGTCACGTTTATGTTGGCAGCGGCTTGCTCTGCCTTCAGAGCATCTAAGGCGGCTACTGCTGCACTCTCCGTGTGAACGTGGATGCTGCTGCCGTTTTTGCGGAGGTTATATATATATTCATATGTGTATGTATGTGTATGCGTGTGTGTATATATATGGCGTATATATATGTATACCGTATATATATGTATATACATATACCGTATATATATGTATATAGCGTGTATATGTATACATATATGTGTGAGTTTATGTGCTCCAATGCTATGCAGCTTGCAGCGGAGACAGGCGACCCTTCTGATGAAGGCGGCATATCGCGAAGTCAGCAGCCTGTGAGGCGGAGGCTGCAGGCATTTTTGTTGCTTCTTTGGCACTGTGAGCAGATGTTTGCGGGGGAGTTGGAGGATGCGGAGGCATGCATGCAGTATCTCGTAGAAGCGGTGAGTGCATGCAGCCAGGGGCTGATACACTTCTGGGATGCCTGAGAGAAGGGGTATGCAGCGGAGTTAGCAGACGAGACTCAGCGCATGATGCAGCTGATTCGAAGACGCTGTGCAAAGGGTGGCTAGCCACGCAGACGCAGCGACTAGCGAAACAGGGAGGGAAGGATCTCCACAAGGCGTCTACCCACACTCGTGTTAGGGTGTGGCGTGTCGTGTGTGCCGTGTCTTTCCACCCCAGGTACTTTTTCCTGTCGCAAGGAAACTTGATGCTGTCACGCCTAGCAAAAGCAGCAGTGAAAGCAGCAGTGAAAGCAGCAGCAAGAGCAGCAGTGAAAGCAGCAGCAAGATGAGAGCGCTGTCGGAGGATGCCTGCATGTTTGCCGATGCATGCTTCCCCATCAGCTGCAACAGCTTGGTGCAGGCAGCGCTTCTTCGCTGCTTAGGAAGGCTATTCATGCGCACTCAGCAGACACGCAGCATCAAAAGCCATCGCTTGCTGATTGCTGCGATCAGGTGCGATGGGTAGAGACGCTCAGCGCAGCAGCTCCACGGCAGTACCAAAAGTAGACACTCTCTCTTCACCTGTCTGCAGCTTCTCCTCCTCAATGCGTTCTCTGACTTCATTTTTCTCCTCGGATCGCAGCGAAACTTGCCATGTAGATATGTGTATGTGCATGTGCAGATGTACATGCATGTACATATGTGTATCTGTATGTATACATATGTATATCTGTAGATGTACATGTATGCACATTTATGCATGTATATGTATACATATATATATATACATATAGATATAGATGCCTCTGTGTGTATGTGACTGTGTGACGTCGCTCGTGTGCTGTGGCGTTCTGCGTGATAGGTTTCACTGAGCATAGCCTTTTTTTCTTGTTTTTTCTGACCTACGCTGCTCGCGCGTTTTTCTTTGAAAGGCTACTGTCCACGTGGCTGTATCTCCGTGTGCGTCTCAGCTTTTTGTTGCAACTAGGGGGGAACGTAGACGCGGCAGCTCTCGAAGAGGCAACTGAGCACTTGATGCCGCTGCTGATTCTGTCTGTTGCAGCCTGCAGCAGCAGTTGCAGCGGCAAGCCGCTGCTCTCACAGCGCGAGATTCAAGAGCTTTTCTCGCAGCCGTATCCGCAAAGCGGAGCAGCAAGAGCTCTCGCCGATACGCCTTCTCTTGCTGCTGCATCAGAAGCTGTTTCCCCTGCTGCTGCACTCTCCACAGCAGCAAGAGGCGCTGCCGCAGCCAGGAGTCTTGCTGCCGCCGCAAACGCTGAAACGCAGCACCGCTGCTATGGCTGCAGAAAGCTGACAGACGTCGCGTTTGCGACGTCTGTCAGCTCGAACGCAGCACTGGCAGCAACTTGCGAGTATTTCCTCACGTGTGACCACTGCAAGCTGCCTTTCTTGCCGTCTCCCCTGCATGCAAGAGCTCGCGAAAGCAGCTCAGCAACAGCAGCAACCCCCTCCGCAGACGCAGCTGCAAAACCCCTGCTGCTCCAGCAGACGCTTGCGGCAAGAGAGAAGCAGCATCTGCTGCAGACAGACAGCGCAGCAGCGCTGCTGCTGCTGCTGGGCTGCTGCTGCTGCAGGCTGCTGCAGCTGCAGCAGCAGCATCCCCTGCAGCAGCACGTTCGCTCGCTCAGGAGGTCGCTCTCACCCCGAGGCGCGGCGCAGCAGCAGCAACTCGCTGCAGCCGCTGCTGCTGCCTCCGTCGCCGCTTTGGACGTTCCTGAGGCATCGTTTGGGGGAGGGGTCGCTGGCGGCGATGCATGCAGGAGTAGTGCAGAAGGCGACACAGCCTCGATCCTGCAGCAGCTTGTGCGTCAGCAGCAGCAGCGCTTCAGGAGAGCGCAGCAAGCCATGTGCCCTCCGCTGCTCACGCTGCTGCTGATGGCTCCCACCACTGCGTTTGCAGCAACCGAGCAATCCTGCAGCAACGACAGCCTAGACAGCAGTCTTGACGCTGCTGCTGCTGCAGCAGCTGCTGCGCTCACCGTGTGGCAGCTGCTGCATCTCTCCCTACGCGCAGATGCGCTCTCCTTCGAGCTTTGCTGCTGCCCTGAAAGCAGCAGCAGCAGCAGCAGCAGCAGCAGCAATACAACGGGCAGCCGTATGGATGCAGTTCTCAGGCCCTTCGAAATGTCAGCAGCAGCGCAGGAGGCATCCAAGAGTCTCCTGCTGCTGCTGCTGCATTCGCCAGCGCTGCTGCTGCGGCTGCTGCCTCCTGTCTCCGATCAGCTCGTGCAGCAGCAGAATCCAGCGCAGCAGGAGGTGCTGCATCGCCTCAAGGAAGAGGAGGCGGCAGCTGCAGCAGCAGCTCCTCCCGGGAGCTTGTTGCAGCTGCTGCGCTTGTGCTTGTTGGTGCCGCCGCTGGTGTTCACTGCAGCAGCAGCAGCAGCTGCTGCTGCTGCTGCAGCGACCACTACAAGTGTAGATGCTCAAGGTGCGCCTTCCGAAGCCTTAGCTGGAGGCGACGGCAGCGACAGCAGCTTTTTCGCTTCCGCTGTGGATCCAGACTTCGTGTGGCTCTATGCCCAGCCGCGCATGCGTCTCTTGCTGCAGCCGCATCTGCATGCAGCTGCGGGGGAAGCAGCAGCGGCGGCAGGCGCTCTCGCGGCAGCAGCGGCGGAGGGGAAGAGTTCAATGGCTGCCCTTCTTGCCTCCGCGAAGAGCAAAGCCTTTGAGGGAGACAGCGGACGGCTGTTGCTGCGCTGCTGTGACTTGGAGTCTCTGCTGCTTTCCGCCGCTCGACTGCAGCGCTCGCTGGCTGCTTCCGTGCTGCTGCAAAGGGGCATGCGGCAGCTGGCAGTAGAAAGCTGCTGTCTGCACTGCCCCTCGCTGCAGCAGGCTGTTGAGTTAGTGAAGCCTCATGCGCACGAGGAGCGTTCCGCACTGCCCCTCATGTCTTTCAGCGCGATCGCGATTCACGTTGAACTCACTGGCGTGGCAGCAGCGTGGTTAGCAGCGGAGGGATTTGCTGCCTTCTCGCTGCGCTTTCTTCTTCGCCGTCTGCACACGGCAGCAGCAGCAGCAGCAGCAGCACGAGACGACGAAGGCAGAGGCGGGTGTGGCTTCGTAGGCTTCAGCGTCGGAGGAACGGCTGCGCTCACGCAGCGGCTGCAGCAGCTGACGCTGCTGCTGCAGTGCTGGGGTGTCTCTGCAGCTGCAGCAATAGGCCATGCATGCGGCGGGGGATGCTGCCTCGACAGTCTCTTCAGTCTCTTCTGGAGAAGCAGCAGCAGCAGCAGCAGCAGTTTCGGAAGTCTCAGCAGCACCCTCAAAAACAGCCGCAGCCTCAAGAGAAGAGACGCAGCGAGACTGACGCATCGAAGTCTCTTGATTCTGCTGCTGGGAGAGCGTCTCTACCTCCTCATTTCTGGAGAGCTGCAGCACCAGGCACGGAGGCAGCTCCTGCGCAACAACAAACAGCAAGCACACCCACTGACAGCTGCTGCTGCTAAAGAAGCTGTCACAGAGGCACAGCTACTCCCAAGCCTGCTGCTGCCCTTTCGCTTCGCAGTCGTGGGCTGGAAAGCCGATACATCACTTCCCCGTAAGTTACATGCCTTTCTTTCGGTACTCTACTGCTGCTCTGTTGCTCTTATGTTGTTACTCTTGCTACACTGTTGTTACTCTTGCTACACTGTTGTTACTCTTGCTACACTGTTGTTACTCTTGCTACACTGTTGTTACTCTTGCTGCTCTGTTGTTACTCTTGCTACACTGTTGTTACTCTTGCTACACTGTTGTTACTCTTGCTACACTGTTGTTACTCTTGCTACACTGTTGTTACTCTTGCTACACTGTTGTTACTCTGGCTACTCTGTTGTTACTCTTGCTACACTGTTGTTACTCTTGCTACACTGTTGTTACTCTTGCACTGATCTTACTCTCTAGGCTGCTGCTACTCTTGCACTATTCTTACTCTCTAGGCTGCTGCTACTCTTGCACCATTCTTACTCTCTATGCTGCTGCTACTCTTGCACCATTCTTACTCTCTACGCTGCTGTTACTCTTGCACTATTCTTACTCTCTAGGCTGCTGCTACTCTTGCACTGATCTTACTCTCTACGCTGCTGTTACTCTTGCACTATTCTTACTCTCTAGGCTGCTGCTACTCTTGCACTGATCTTACTCTCTACGCTGCTGTTACTCTTGCACTGATCTTACTCTCTACGCTGCTGTTACTCTTGCACTGATCTTACTCTCTACGCTTCTGTTATTCCTCTTACGCTGCTCGTGCTCTTGCTCTTGCTCCTGCTCTGTTGCTGCCGTGGCAGCAGCTTCTGACGGCTTAGTCGATCCGAACTGTCGGCTGCCTCTTCTATCCGCTTTTTCCGAAGCTTTGACATGGATCTGCGCTGTCTGTTGCTGCGCATGCAGCTGGTATCAGCTTGCTGCAGCAAGCGACGCCTTTGGACGGTTTGTTGCAGCAGCTGCTGCTGGTGTTGCCACCAACTGAAGAGGCTGTTCAGTTGATTTTCCGACTGCTGCAAACGCAGCAGACGACCAGCAGCGCCGAAAACAGCGGCAAGGGAATTACTGAAGTCTCGAGCAGCAGCTTTCCTACATGTGGCGTTAGCGACAGCAGCTGCGACAGCCGAGGACGCTCTGCAGAATCGCATAGGGAGAGCACTACTCCGCCGTCTCTCGGCAAGCATCAGCAACAGCTGCTTCTCTTTGTGATTCTTCGTTGCGCGCATCATTTCGCATCCAGTAAGAAGGAGAGAGAGAGCAGCAGCAGGCTTAGTAATAGGAGCAGCAGCATTAGCAGGAGGAGGAGCAGTAGCAGGATTGGTAGCAGCATCAGTAGCAGGATTAGCAGCAGCAGCAGCAGTAGCAGGATCAGTAGCAGCAGCAGGATTAGCAGCAGCAGAAGTAGCAAGATTCGTAGTAGCAGCAGCAGCAGTAGTAGCAAGATTAGTAGCAGCAGTAGCAGCAGTAGTAGCAAGATTAGTAGCAGCAGTAGCAGCAGTAGTAGCAAGATTAGTAGCAGCAGCGGCAGCAGGATCAGCAGCACGATCAGTAGCAAGATTAGCAGTAGCGCTAGGCGCAGCAGGATTCGCAATGGCAGACACAATCGTAGTCAGCTGCAATTTAAAGACTGCATTTGCAGCTTCATCAGATAGCCTGCTGTGACTCTGTTGCAGCATCCCGCGGCTGGTGCTGCTGCTGCTGCTGGTGCTGGTGCTGGTGCTGCTGACAGTCTCATGCGCTGCTGTCTGCGGCTTTGTTGCTGCTGCCACGCTTTGCACTGCTGCAGATTCGAGTCAGGATCAAGAAGGTGGTCAGCAGCAGCTGTTGCAATGCATGAATATCCTTCAGAGGTGGGCTGCAACAGAGAGGTGTCACAGCAGATGTCGTGCTTGCTGCCTATGTATGTATGTGTGTATGTGTGTTGGAGTATCTTTAGAGGTTCAGCACTTGCAGCGGATTTCTCTAGAGCTGCACATGCAAAGCGAATTTCTGCCATTTAGCTGCCATACTGAACTGGCAGTCCTTAAAGGGGGGGTTGACATGCCGTTGCCTCATTCGCTGCCTCTTCTGATGCTGCAGAGCCGTCAACATCTTCTACAAAGATCCATCGCCATCAGCACCAGCTGCAGCTGCTGCAGCCGTCAGTCTTTCAGATGTGGTGCAGCAACAAATGTTGCAGGTATGGCAGGAGGCAAAATTCACAGCCTGCAACACTGCAAGAGGTGCTCGTTGCATGCAGAAGATGTAAACAGCGCTGCTGTGCTTTGCCATCCCCCCCTCCCCTTCACACATCCTCTTCTTTTCGCTCTCTTTTTCTTTCCCTTTTCTCTTTTTCAAGCTTTTTCGCTCTCTCTCTCTCTCCTCCGTCTCTTTCTCTCTCTCCCTCTCTCCCTCTCTTTCTTTCTTTCTTTCCTTCGTTCTCGACGTGTCTCGCGAACGCATGGCGTTCTGTTGTTTCAACTGTCACATGTGGCGTGTTGCATGCGTAATTTGCCAGGTTGTAGAGCTGCTGCGGCTGTGCCTCGTAACTCCCAGCAGCAGTAGCAGTAGCAGCAGCAGCAGCAGTTCTGCTGCTGCAGCACTGCTTTATCGCCGCAGCTTTTTGCGTCTCTTTGCGCCTCCCGGATCACTTCCGCTGCTTCTGCGAGAGGCTTCTCGTCAACAGCAGCATCGAGAGAATGATGCTGAAAGACGAGTTGCAGCAAGTATTATGGCCACACGCACGCTCAAACTGTTGCTGGATGTCACGAGCAGCGAGCTTGTTGAGACAAGAGCCGCTAAAGTCGGTGTTGCTAGTCGCGCTGAGGCTGCACCAGAAGCCTAGTCTACTGCCTACTGGGAGGCAATGGCGAATGCAACATGCCTTCTGCTCCTCTTGCTCTTGCTGCTGCCTGAACCGATTTTTCCGCTTTGTCTGTCTTTCGCCTAGCTGCATTCTTGCAGCCAACGCTGCCACATCAATAAATATATGTATGTATATATATATGTATATATGTATATATGGGTGTGTTTGTTTGTGTGTGTTTGTGTGTATCGACAGCTCTTGGGCTTCCTGGACTGCTGCCGTGAAGCGACGCGTTTTTCAGTTAGCGTTTTGCAGTGTCTTTCCAGCTGCGTTTCCGCTTTTTCCGCCTTTTCGTTGCTGCAGTTTCTGCCGTTTGTGCTTCAGCAGATGCAGCAGTTTTTGCAGCAAGCGAAGCAGCAACTGCGTCGCTGTGGTGGGGGCAAAGCACACCCCTGCAGCAGGAAAGACGACCTTGTTTCTGCAGACTGCAGCTGCAGCAGCTGCGCAGAGGCGCATGCAGTTTGCAGCGAACTGTGGCGTTTGCTGCTGTTGCTGCTATCGAAAGCGCAAGAGGCTGCAGCGGCAGACGAGCAGCAGCTGCCGCTGCTGTGCGCTGCTTTCGCATGCACCCCAGTCCTGACACCCGTTCAGCAGCTTCTGCCTAGCGACCCTTCAGCAGCAGCAGCTGCTGCTGCCTCCACGCAGCAAAGTGGCAGCAACGCGAGCAGCAGCAGCATCAGCGATGGTGGAAGGCGCAGCGGGGGCAGTACAAGTAGTCTGGGATCGCAGCAGCCTCGTAGCGGGCTACTTTTGCGGCTGTTGCAGTATCATTGCTTACTGCCTGCCTTTCTCTTCGAGAAGCTGCAAGCCATCAGCAGCAGCAGCGCGAGCAGCTCCTGGGGAGGCGCATCGAAGTCTCAGATGGAAGAACTCGCGCGTCAGCTGCAGCTGCAACGCAGCGAATATCTGGAGGCACAGCGGCAGATGCCACTGCTGCTGCTGCGCTGCTGCACGTTGGGGGTATTTCTCAGTCACAGTTTTCCCTATGCAACGCGATTCGCTGCAGCGCGCTGTCTGCTGCAGTTGGGGCGCACCTACAGCGTGCCGCTGCTGCTGCAGCAGCAGCAGCAGCTGCTGCTGCTGGAGCAACAGCAGCAGCAGCAGCACCAAGAGCAGCTTCAGCTGCAGCAGCTGCTGGACGCTCTGGTGTCAAGTTTGCAGGGTGTCATCGTCGAGTTCATGCATTCCATCGACCCTCTGCCGCTTTGCTGCTCTCAAGTACTGGGATTTCTAGGGAGTCTCAGCAGAGGCAGCAGCAGCAGCAGCAGACTGATGCCTGTGTCATCTGCCGTTGCAGATCTGCTGCTGAAACGCCCACCATCTGCCACCTCTGGCAGCCAGCAGCAACAACAACAGAAAAGCGAAGGTAACTGCAGCAACAACAACACGCGGTCCCTGCGTGGAAGCAGCAGCAGCAGCAGCAGGAGTGGCAGCAGCAGCAGCAGCAGTGGCAGCAGTGGCAGATGGCAAATCGCAGCCGACGGAATGCTCGGCGTGACACTGCTGCAGGAGGTGCTGCTCTCGAATCTGCACATCTCAACTGCTGAGAGGACGGCGCAAGAGTTGCTTACCGTTCTGGGATTGCATGTAAACTCAGTGCCAGGTGTGTGTTTCCCTCCTCCAACAGGAGAATTTCTTAGGGTCGCTCTGCGCAGTGCTGCTTCATCTACCCCAAAGCGGATCGGTAAAATGCATGCGCGGCTGCCATCGCTTTTTCTCCCAATGCTCGGCAGCAGCTCGTGGGGTGCTCTATAGAGGGGGAAGGGATGCTTCTCTCGTGGCATTCATTTCACGCATTGTCACCCTTGGGCAAGACAAAAAGAGCAGCAAATGTGTGCAGTTGCTGTATATACACCTACGGCTTCCACAGGTCGTGCTGCAGAAGTCTTCCCCCGCATTTATAGGGCATTCCTGCGGCAGCAGCAGCAGCAGCAACAGCAGCAGCAGCAGCAGCAGCAACAGCAGCCACAGGAGCAGCATGAAGTCAGTAGCTGCGACCATCCTTTTGCTGGAGATGCGTTTCGCTGCCTCTTATGGCAGCAGCTGTTTGACCCTCCAGTGCGCGTGGCGCTGCTGCCTTACGCAAGCAGCGCGTACAGACACTGGACTGGCCGCAGCAGCAGCAGCAGCAGCAGCAGCAGCAGCAGCAATGCCAAGACGCAGAGCAGCAGCAGCAGGGAAGCTGTTCGAGGGAGAAAGCGCAAAGCGCCTGGAGATCTTCCAGCAACATCCGTGACAGAAGGCAAAAACGATACAGAGAGCAACAACGCCGCATTAGGCGCAACAGGCACCTCCCCCCTACAGCTGTTTGTACAGTGGCTTCTGACATCCCTTGAGAAGCAACAGCAGCAGCAACAGCAGCAGCAACAGCCACATGAGCAACAAGAAAAGGGAAGGTTGAGCAGCAGCAGCAGCATTCGCATCAGCATCTTCCGTGCATGCGATTTGGCGATGCTGCACTTGCCGTTCTGCCTATCGTTCTTGCTGCCGCATCTGGTTGAGGCTTTTCTGTCGTCAAGACTGAACTCGCCGCAGCAGGTATGCTGGTGGATGGTTTAAATGCTGATTCAATGCTGCAATTACTACTAGTACTCCTCCTACTACGCTTGTTTTGGTGTTGTTGCTTTGGGTGGACTTGTGGCTGCTGCTGCTGCTGCTTTTTCAAGTGGTGTCAAGAATGCAGGAAGCTTCGCTGCGCTATACAGGGGACCTTTTTCTTGCGATTATATCGCGTGAGAGCTGACACTGACACTGCTGCTGCCAGTGCTGCTGCGGTTGTTTGTGTTGTTGCTGCTGCTGCTGCAGGCAGGTGCCCTTCTTAGCCAACGACTGCTGCAGCTTGTTTCTACCGAGTTGCAGAAGGCTTACAGCAGCAGCAACAATAGCACGCAGTATCCAACCCATCCATGGAAGGCGTCATCAGGAGAGAGTCTTGAGGGGAAGCAGGAGCAGCAGAAGGGGGGTAAGGCAGATAGCGCCTCTACTACCATACAGGTTCGTCGGAAAGACTCTGTTTGTTGCTTTTTTTCTTTGTTTCATGCTGCCGAAACGCTCCTTTCCCTTCTCCCCGCCTGCCAGTCATCGCAGCGCTGGCTGGCGTTTAGCCGTTCTTCCTGAGAGAGCATTCAACGCCGTTTGCTGCTGCTGCTGCTGCTGCTGCCTTTTCCAGGCTATTTTCTCTCTGCTGCAGAAGCTGACACGCTGGAGGCGTCTAATGGAGGAGCACCAACTGCCGCTGCTGCTGCAGCGGCAGCAGCAGCTGCAGCAACAGCAGCAGCAACAGCACGCTACGCTTCCTCCTCCACAGCCGAGTAGAGCGACGCCTACGGCAACAGCCATCACTGCCAGCGGCTCAAGTCCGTTGCAGCAGCCCACTGCTGCTGCAACGCAGCAGCAGCTTCAGCAGCAGCAGAAGTTGCTGCAGCACCAACTGCTCGCCGTGAAGAGTGCACTGGAAGCTCTCGATCCGCTGCTGCTGTCTCGAGCAGCACTTTCTTGCGGCGCATACGCGAGGTCTGTGGCTGCTTTTTTGAGAATGTTGCAATGGCTGCTAAACAGCTGCTGTTGCTTGCAGCCTTTTCCGCCATGTTGGTGCTGATGGTGGCGTGCAACTGCTGCAGGTGCATGCGGTGTTGGTGGTAAAAGTTTTTCGTAGCGTTGCCTTTGCGCTGCTCTCGATCTCTGCTGCCTCGGCAAGAGGTGGTAGTTGTTTGAATGCAGCAAAGTGATGCTGCTGTGCCGTGCTTTTGGCGAGCTCGAGAAAGCTTTGCTCCCGAGGCTTCCTCCACATGCTGCCGCTGCAGACTGCGTTCGCTTGTTCGGCTACAGAGCTCTCTGCCTCCTCGAAATGCACATGACAAAGGATTTGCTGCCTCTCAAAGAGCTGCAGCAGCGGCTCTGGCTTGGGCACGTTGTCGCAAAGGAAACGCATGCATCAGGTAGGCGCGACAGGGAGGCGAACGGGAGGGGGGGAAAGGAGGAGAAGGAGGGCTTGCGGTGTAAATGGTTCTGCTGCTTCTGTTTCTACTTCTGCTGCTTCTGTTTCTACTTCTGCTGCTTCTGTTTCTACTTCTGCTTCTGTTTCTACTTCTGCTGCTTCTGTTTCTACTTCTGCTGCTTCTGTTTCTACTTCTGCTGTTTCTGTTTCTACTTCTGCTTCTGTTTCTACTTCTGCTGCTTCTGTTTCTACTTCTGCTGTTTCTGTTTCTACTTCTGCTTCTGTTTCTACTTCTGCTTCTGTTTCTACTTCTGCTGCTTCTGTTTCTACTTCTGCTGCTCCCTGTGAGAGCATCCGCATTTACACACGATGCGTGCTGCTGCCTTCCTCTGCCGCCTCCCTTGAACTGTCGTTTGCGATGTTGCAGAGAAGAGCGCATCGCGCTGCGGTGTGGCAGTGCTGCCGCTGCTGCTGCAGTCGTATAGGGGACTGAAGGCATGGGACCTACTTTTGGCTGCTGCTGAATGTAGCGGTGTCGACGGACTGCAAAAATGCAGCAGCAGCAGCAGTAGCAGCAGCAGCAGTAGCAGCAGCAGCAGTAGCAGCAGCAGCAGCAGAAAGGGCTTGTTGTTGCCTGCTGCAGCCACTGAAATCGTCGCGACACCTAAACCGGCGGAAGAACAGGAGCAGCAGCAGGAGCAGCAGGCACTGCAACAAACGCAGCAGAGTGGGGTGCTTGTGCGATTGCAGCAGCAGCAGCACAGGCAGCAGCAGAGAGCCCACATCGAAGGCTTTGCGCTTGAGCTCCGTGGCAAATGGCGACGTGCAGCTGCTGCGTATTCGAGAAGGTGAGGCTGCGAAAAACGCTGCAGGTTGCTGCACTTTTTCTGGAACGCGCTGAGTGCGAATTTCGTCCCTTTACGATCGCAGGCGTCTCTGCAGCCTTGTGACGAACGCCGCTCTCTGCCTCGCACTCTGCCCTTCGTGTGCCTCTTCAGCCTGCTGAAAATGCCCAACAGCAGCACAGGCAGCAGCACAGACAGCAGCTGCAACAGCAGCAGCCTCAGCGCAGGCTGCAGCGTCTTGCTTGCCTTCTGCAGCAGCGCCTTGGCAGCACTGTCTGCGCCCACATCTTCCCCAGAGATTCAGGCAGCTGCAGCAGCAGCCGCGGAAGCTGCATGCGCTGCAGGAGATGCAGCAGCTGCCATTTGGTGTGGCTTTTTCCGCTGTCTGAGGAAAAGTGGAGGGGGCATTGCAGTATGGCCGGACTGGCAAGCGGTGCAGAGACACCTGCAGCAGCAGCAGCTTCAGGAGCTGCTGCTGCTGCTGCCCTTTCCGCTGCCAAGACGCTTTCTCCTCGAGCAGCAACTCCAGAACGCCACTCTGCAGCAGCTCATTCAGCAGTACAGACTCTCCCTGTGTCGCGCCGCTGCCTCCGCAGGAGGCGCTTGGCCATGGCAGCAGCGTCAAGAGCAGCAGAGACTCTCCGTCGCTCTCATGGAGGCAGCAGCTGCAGCGGCAGCTGCTGCTGCTCGTGCTCATAATAATAGTACTGCTGCAGCGCGTGCTAATAATAACGGCGATCGCCGAGCTAGCGATAGTAGTGGCGATCGCCGAGCTACCAATAGTGGTGGCGATCGCCGAGCTAATAACGGTACAGCTGCTGGAAATCATGCTGCCGTTTTGGAAGCAGAGGGGCCAGTGACAGCGGTAGGTGTCTTCGACTTGCACCAGCAGCGTGCCTTGTGGGCAGAAGCTGCAGCAGCGTGCTGCAGTTTGAGCAAGTGGGAAGCCTTGCCGCCGTTGCTGCACTCTGCATCGAAAGCAGCAGCAGCTGCTGCTGCTTCCTCGGCGACGGCAGCTGAGGGGGCAGCCTCTAGCGAGCTCAGTCTGGCCATGCTCCCGCAGTCCGACTCGACAGAATCTCGCTTTCTGCTGCAGCATTCTCGCTTGCTCCTTCTTGTGCGAAGAATTGTGCAGCAGCAGCTCGAGCGCAATACACAGCAAGAGGAGCAGCACGAAGAACGGCTGCAGGAGTGTGCCTGTATGTTGGTAGGCAGAAACCTACATGAAGCAACGGTGGAATGCTTGCGTCCTTTGACTGCGGCACTCAAAGATTCAGCAGAACGAGCTGCCACACACCTTTCTCACCTTCATATCTTCGCCGATCTCGAGGTGAGTCTGCCTCGTTGATGCGGTTGTGTGTTGGGTGCTGCTGCATGAGCATGTGTGTGGAGGCAGGCTGTTCGCGCATAAATGCATCAATAACTACATGCACAAATGCATATATATATGCATGCATAAATGCGTAAATACACAATACATAAATGTATGCATCAATGCATGCGCTTTTTGCCGCACAGTCTGCTCCACAATCGACTGCTTGCCTTATGTCGTTCTTGCTGCTGCTGTGTTGCGCTGTGCTATGCTGTCGTCTTTCTGCTTTGGATGCATCTGCAGCTAATATGCAGACGTGTTGGACTTCTCGTAGATAACGATGAGAGAGACGAGCTCCACAGCAACAACAGCAGCAGCAACAACAGCAGAGCTTCTTGGTGTGCGTGCATCAAGGCTTCCACTCGTCCCTTGTCTGTTTCTTCGCAGTGCTCTCTGGCTGCCCTCCTTGTCGATCGCGCTTTGTCAGGAACAGAAACAGCTCCTGCCGCAGAGGCGCATGCAAGAGGCTCAGTGCTCCTCTCAGCAGCAAAGATAGCCCTTGAATGTGTGCAGCAGCCTGTGGCTGCTGCTGCTGTAGGCCTTTCTCTGCAGCAGCAACGGTGCGGTGTATGGACACCTGGCGCCGTCCTTACGTCTCAGTACAAGCGGATTGAGACTTTCCTGAAGCAGCAAAATTTGCAGCAGGAGGTGGAGAAGGTCGAAGGGGGGGTTGCCTCTCCTGCAGATCATCAGCAAGTCCTTTGTTGGCAACAGCAGCTGCTCGAAAATCTCGCTCTCAACATGCGTCTAGAGACGGCAAACCAGCTTCTCAAAAAGGTGCAGAACGCTCGTCATCCATGAGCTGCGCTTTCGTGTATGTGTGTGTCTGTGTCTATGTGTGTGGCTGTATGTGAGTGTGTGGCTGTATGTGAGTGTATGTGTGTCTTTGTATGTGTCTATGTGTGTGTATGTATGTATGTCTTTGTATGTGTCTATGTGTGTGTATCTGTCTGTGTGTGTGTCTATATATGTATAATATATATATATACTTCTGTTCCATCCTGAGACTCCTTCAATTGCCCGCTATCTTTCTCTCTTGGATGCCATCACAGTTCACACACACACACTTCACCCTGCACGTCCCCCCGCTGTCTGTCTGTCTGTCTCTCTCTCTCTCTGTCTCTCTCTCTCTCTCTCTCTCTCTCTCTCTCTCTCTCTCTCTCTCTCCTTCTCTCTCTCTCTTTCTCTCCTTCTCTCTCTCTTCTTCCTCTTTCTCTCTCCTCCCCACCATCGCCCTTTGACTTCCTCTCTCTTTTTGTGTTTGTCCCCTTCTATTTTACTCGCATCCCTTTCTCTTCGTCTTTACTCCTTCTCC